GTTCATTTTCGTCAAGCCATCAAAAGTCACCGAGACCCTTCTCAAGTAATTCTGATTTTATTAATTTATCTTGGTTCTGATGCATATCGATCTTTCCTTTGCTTTTTAATGGTTTCACAATCTTCGACGATTATTAAGCTCGTTTGGAAAACGTAGGTATGCCACTCCTGAAAACATACTAGTCCAATATGGAGGCCTAAGAAGGGAAAATGACAATGAATTCTCGACAGATGATAAAGTTCTTGAAGTGAATATCAGAGGAAGTTGGATAGAATACATTCAGATTCCTGTTAATGAGGCATGTCAATGATTTCTGCTGTTAAAAAAAAGACCTGTTTTGAGAATATGCTTCGTCTTGCTTCGTTTTTCTATGGTATTCTCACAAAAAATTCAAATTTTGCAAAACTACCAATACTCCTCGGGTTTTTACTTTCCTTACAAGTAACAGAACCCTTCTCATTACAAGAAATAATTTCATTGTTGACTTGTGTTTATAAATTCTACATAACTTTTTACTTGCTTTCTTTTGTAACTAACCATTGTTCTGCTCCGAGTGATTAGATTTTCGTCCTCATTTATTTCAAATGAAAATTGACTTGGATTTTTTTTTTTTACTCTTTGTATATATATTCCTAAATTTTGTGCAGGCTGGGTTTACTGTAACTTGGGATGTAACCGTGGTTGGATACGATGTTTTGTACAAAGAAGAATTTATACCGGATGACGATTGCTCGTACAGAATCTTGCTGCAGGAGAAGAAAATGGGAGAGAGCATAAGAAACTCATTTCACGTGAGGGAGCCCGGGAAAATCCTCATGACCATAATCAATAGCTCGTACACGAAGAAGAAGGCTTTCTATCGGTATAAAACTAGACCCACTGTGCCTATGTATGTGTCATCAAACAACAAGCTTTTGGTGACTCCAAACCCCATTTTCGAGTTGCTGTGAATACTTTTATTGTTTCCCTTTTAAGAGCAAAAATTGGATCATTTTGTGTTTTCCAAAGGATCATCAAGATGGTTTCTGGATTTGTGATCTAGGTTTGCTGTGTAAGAGTTGACAATAAAAGCTTAAGCAAATTCTTGTTTTATATTCATCTGATTTTTGCTCTCTTTCTCTCTCCAACATTTATCAGGTCATCCTGTTATTAAGTATTGTTAGTTTGTGTGGTAAAAGCTGTGTGTTTTAGAAAATTATATATTTACGGAGTATGGGACGAATCCCGACCTCGGAATCTAGATTTGATGTCGATCGCATACAAAAGCAAAACAATTCAATAACAATAAAATAACTAAAGTTAACGATCAAAAAAGAAAAAAAAAAATAACTAAAGAATTAGCAGAAGTTCTAGGTGTGGGGAAAGCTCATGAAATCCTAAACTTACGTCACTACAAAAAAAACTCATACATTCCAACGGAAATTTTCCATTGGAATTCTTTATATTTTTCGTTGGAATAGCTATTCGAACGGATATTCCTACGTATAAAAATTCTTGGGAAAAACGGCCGTTGGAATAGCTAAAATCCAATAGAAAATCCTATAGAAATAAATTCCTGCAGCTAGTCCAACGGAAAAGAATTCCTCAACCATCCAACACTTATTTCAGCATAAAATTAAGTTTGTTGGAATATTCGTTGGAATTTCCAATGGAATTATTTGCCGTTGGAATTTTTCGTTGGAATTGAAGTGTTTTCTTGTAGTGCGTTAAACCTTTATGTTCGGTGACGTGATTCAACAAGCCTATACGTATAGAGATTTATGCTCAATAATTATTCATAACAAGAGCTCACACATAAACAATAAACTTGTTAGTAAAAGTAACTTGTTCGTGAGTGGGATTCACGATAGCCTCATTCGGGCGATACGAGAATTACGAGATCGGGACTGGTCAGTGGACTTGATACACGTTTTTCGGGAAGCGAACTTCGCAGCGGATCATCTGGCTTCACTAGCGGCGTCTGAACCAATCGGGGTGCGTTATTTGACGGTTCCACCTCCATCAGTGGGCAAGTGGCTCGAGCATGATATAATCGGGGTTGCATACCCCCGCCGTGTTTTAACTTAGCATTCTAGGCTTCGGCCCCCCTTTATTGTACCGAAAAAAAAAAGTAACTTGTTCGTCAAATAACACGTAGACAATACTTTTACTAACAAGTCTACATTATGCAAGCCATGGTGGAACAATCTAACTCATTTTGGTTCTTAGATTATTGAAATGAACTAGATGGTGATCAATCGCCTAATTTTATTATTGAATCAACGTGCACAAGTTGAACAATACATATTTAACACAATTCGAGACAAGAATTGAAATCCCTAGCTCTAGGTAGATGGATTATCTCATGTTTGAATTGAAGTTCACGTTAATCCAATGCAAGAAACACCGCATCGAATAACAATAATGATTAGAAAACAAAAACTTACAATCGATCTAGGAATTGCAAGAGTTCAATCTCAATGTATTTGGCCCCAACAAATCAAACAAGAGTGAAACTGAAAAAAAAAAAAAAAAA